CGCATCGCCCCAGTCGAAAAATTGTACCGTAGGATCGGGGCGGAGCCCCGTCCTTTCGGGCTTACAGCACCAGACGCCGAAGCGAGTGCAATGGCCTGCTCCCCCGAAGGCTAGCGGCCCTCGTGACCACCGCCAGACCCCGGTCAGGTAAGTATGAGAGTGAAGGTGGGAAAGGGGAAGCTTATGTACTAGAGGGCTTCAAACGAGAGTGTGATTCGAGAAGGGTATGGGAGGGTATTTCCTGGTGGGGTAGGAGGTGGACGCGCATAGTGTGTATGTTTTCCTGGGTCTATTTCTTTGTCAAGCGTTTGACGGACTTTCGAAATTTCGAGCGTTACATCTTGTAGTTTTTTTAATTAATGTTTATTTGATTACTCTAGCAAGGCGTGTGTGGGAATGGGAAGCCGCGAGCTTCGCTGCTTCGCCGGCTGCTCTCCTCTCATTTGGTGGCTCACACTCTGCCTTGTCAAATGTATGGCTGACACTGGTTGTGATGCTTTGTCTTTTTATTTTGTGAATGGATGAATTCTTGCGTGAGGCCACGACTTGACTGGTTGACTCTGTACGCAATGGTTTCGGTCGGGCACAGAGACGCACGCCGCACCGCGACGAAAGCTGTGAAGTCCCACCCAACTTGCTGACAAGGATCTTTGGCAGGCCCCTTTTGGATACAGAGGGTCTCTATCTTAACATCTTGAGCGACATCACTTCATGCTCAAGTTGGTGTGGCTACAAAATCATCGGAGCACAAGTGAAGAAAGTGCAAGTCGCGGCCGCGTGTCGTAATTCAGGCCGATAGTATAGTAAGCCTTTGGGGACAGGTATGGGTGACAGCGGGAGGGAAAGATGCATCACTGATGCCCCCCGGTGGGGGTGCGTGACTTCAAATCACGTGGTGCCGAGAGGCACAGGGGTTCGACTCCTCCTGAGATGCGGGTTCTGAGGAGAGTGTTCGAAGTATCTTGTGTGTGTGACGGCGGATATAAGATATGAAGTGGTGCGACGGAAGATGGTTCTCAACTGCAAGCGACCCGATCGGACCCCGTCAATTTTGGCACCTTTCCAAAGGACATTATGAGTTACACCAGGCGAATTCCTATGTAATGATATAGAATTTATAATTTGTGTGACAGCGGGAGAAGGGATCCATGCTGCGGCTTCCTCGTGCAGGAGAAGAAATCACAGGAAAAAGAACAATTGAAGGGGGCATGGCTAAATTCGCATGAATAGAACAAGACGAGAATGTGCTATGTCTGAAAGAATATCCGTTGGCTGTCACGAGTTGACGTGGGCGGGGATATGTGGGGGGAGGGAGCATATACAGCCGGTCAATAACAGGGAAGTCATGCCGGACCCTTGGCTTTTGAGAAATCAGGGGCCAAGATCCGAGCGAGCGTACCTCCTGGAAGTGTCTGGTACAACATCTCCGCAGGGTGTCGGTCAAGGAAGTGTGGCGAACACCGCTTGGGCAGTTGGAGGTGGCGGAGAGACATGGATGCAAAAGTCCCGGGGGGAGACGCCTGCTTGGCTCTAGGAAAGTAAAGTGTTGCCCCTCCGAACTTTTATTAAACACGTCTCTTTGCCGAAATTACATCCCCACGCGGTGTGTTGTCGGTTCCCTGGCCGGCATGTCGCATCACAGGGCAAAGAAGAGGGCAATGGAGCCGTCCCAAGCCATGAGACGGGTATTTTCACTCCATGAAGAGGCATAGGAAAAAAACGAGGCCGGAGAGGATAGAGA